AGGAGATTGTGGTAACAGAAATTTGAGTTGCTACAAAAATGTAATGTTTGACGCTTAAGCTACAAAAGTATTTTGAATGTTATCTAAGTGTTTTTGTTCAAAACTTTTAAAGCAGCAAGAGTAATTCTAACATCAAAAAAAGAGTTCCTGTATAAATTTTATCATTGACGCTGTGTGAATTATTTAACGAATAATATTCAGCACAGCATTTTAAAATAAGTAGACGGCAACTAAATAAGCAAGTTGATTTTAATAAATTATGATGAAAGCAATAACATTATGTCGAGTATATGAACAATATTAATATTGTGTTGTTTGCAGATAATCGACCAATGACATCTTAGTTTATATGTAACATTACACAATGTCTCGATAATTTAGAGTTATCCATTCCAATGTGCCATTGATTTGCTTCCTCAAAAAGGACTGAATGGGACAGCGTAATCTACAATACTAAATAAAATGCATTCAACACAATGATGCTTCGTACAATGCCCACTTTAAAAATTCAATTTTGCAAATCTTTTGAACAAATACTAATACACTATTACATTCGACAATAACAATATATTGTGACCCTATTTATTGTGTACATACTATTTATACAGACTATACGCACACTTCAGACGGCTTTCAGGCTCACAAAATAAAATGCTTGAATCACTCTTCACTCTACTCTCCATTCCACACATATTCTCACAATCTTTACCGTTCTCTTTATCTCCGCACGCTTTAACTCTTTTAACAAACGCTGCTGTGCCCTTCATATTCTTAATCAAAACTTATACATATATCGCAATTAGCAAGAAATTTCTTGCCATTCGACAACGATCATGGATTTCTTCATGTACAGTAATAATAACTGGGTTATTTCTTTTCGTCCTCTTGCTTGTTCTATTGGATTACGACGTACGGTCAATAGCGGAAAGTTGGCTAGGTCTAAGTTTAGTTGCATTCTTCGGCGCTTATTATTATTCCTTGGTTGACTTGTGTCTTGATGTTATGGAACACAATCAAGAAGCTACGTTGTTTGTCAGATACGCTAATCAAAAAACGCACTATGTGTTCTTGGGCTACGTATGGATTATCTACAAGACGGAAATTTTCTGCTTAATACCACTTTTAGAATTTCCAACGATATTCTTTGTACTTGGAAATTTGTATAAACAATCTCAACCAAACCGAATCTTTCTCTTTTCATATCTACTCGTTCGTCTTTCCTTCCATGCTGCAGCAATCTATCTCTTCTCTATCTATTATCCGCTGAGAACAGCTTGGACATTATTGGTGCTAACAATTTCTATGCACATATCTTGGTCCTGGAATGCAATTAAAAGACACGCGAGGATAGTAACAAAAAAAACAGAGAAGCAGAAAGAGGAGAGGATGAATGTATTGTATACAAAAAAAGAGTTAAAGAGAGTTTTGGAAGAGATTAAGAACAAGCAAGTTAAAACATAGCGAAAGTAAAATTAGAATGCGAACATGTTTTGAGAACATTTCGTGAATTAAATAGTATAAAGATTATAACATATTGAACCGTATATTTTAGTCACTGTACATTTATCTGATTGTGACAACAAAAGTTTTAATAATGGTTAGAAATTATTATTTCGTTATTGTGTAGACACATTTAAATGGATATCGTATTGATAATAATTTTTAATTAATTAGGGCATTTGTAGAATGCGTCCATTAAGAACTATTAGCCGTCTTATTTTAGCCTCAATACTTTTTTGATTGATCAGCGACACGACAAAGTATATCCAAGTTGCTTGTCAAGAATGCGACGACGGACGGCATAATTGCAATATAAATAGTCTCCCTTTTTTTATCATTTGACTTCGCAATATAATGTGTTAATTATTTAATACATGGCATAACAATTTGCAAATTGTTATTGCAATATCGTAATCATTGAGTAATAGTGAAGACAATACTATTTAGTGTATTATCTATGTAATATTATGTAGTCATAACTATACATATATTTTTATACCATATATTATCATAGTTATATACAGATATCGTCGCGGGAATAAAGAACATTATCTTACTCTTCGCTTTGAGCGAGCGTATTATACATCCAAATATAGCTTAATGTCGTACAGATATACATAATAAATAGATCCCATTGGATAAGCCTTACGCAATAAAGTGAACTCGATAATAATGTCAGCACGTCAAGCACTTGACAGTTTGATTCTATCTTCCTTAAGCAGCAAGCAGCATACTCTGAAATGGATCTCTTACTCTGAGTTTACTAATATAGAATTAATACTGAGTCAATACGCTGCTGACCAAATCATCCATTACAAGCAAGGATGTTGTGAGATAATGTTGTTAGTTCTCGGAAACGATGAACAATGTACACCAGGTTTTATAAGTGAGTTTGCCAGAAAGTACTCACTTCCAACAGAAGATTATACCAATCCAGCTGATGATAAACAGTTCAAAAGATATGCAAAATTGCTTGATTATCGCAATAGGCTGATATACGGATTCACCAAACTTGGCGACAACTATTATATGGTTGCCGTTAGAGAATTTTATCACAGTTATTCTCGATATGGATTTTGCTCTGCATGTGGAATACTGAGATGCAGTCCCGTGTGGTGTATTTGTGGGCATAAAGAATTATCCAGTGGATGGACCAGCAACAATAACAGACTTGACGAGTTTATTAAAAAATCACAAATACAAACAAACTCAGCTAATGATGCTTATTTGGAATGGATTCCATTTGAGTACATTGATTCTACAGAGCATGGAGTATTTTTAAATAGTCTACCTAACTATGTAGCTGTTACATTGATTCCATTTGAGATGACGTATGAGACGGATGAATTATATTATGAGAAGGTAAACTGAATATTTTATTGAAGGCATAGTAATTTATTTATCGACTTGACATAATGTTTTGTCCCATTAGTTATGTAACCAACATCCAGACATTTTTGTCAACAATGTTTGGATTACAATTGGATTTACATATAATGCACAGCAGCAGAAATATTATCTAGTTAAAGATTATTATGGGGGACTATGCTTGGCATGTACACAGTGCTTAGAATCTCATTTAAGTACATTCTGTTTTGCGTGTAAAGCACCAATACCTCTTGATTGGACTAGTGGCAACAATTCTCTGGATTTATTTATAATGAAATCATGGAGTAATACAAGGCATGAAGCTGATGTCTATATACAATGGATAGAGTATTCACAGTTGTTAAACGTACAAGAGGCGACATTGTTACGTCATGAGGGCACTCATATAGCCGATTGGATAGAACCAGCAACAAATAAACTGGTTCAAGTGATACTCAAGATGATAGTTGATGGACAGAACAGTCAATCATTTGATTTTCATCAGGTAGGTTTTTTTCAAACGGTTAATAATATAATTTTGCATATATCGTTTGTTTAATCGATCATTTCCGTAACAATTGTATTTAAATATCCAATATAGCTGGTTAAGGATTACCCAGGGATATTAACTCCAGATAATATTTGGATTATCGGAATCGCTCAAGAACCATCTGCTCGCGGCTATTGCTTGGTACTTTACAGAGAAATGCATACAATATTAGACAGAATTATGCAACGTAATGAAGACATAAAATTTATGCCATACGATGACTTTGATGAAATTAAAGAGATTGGAGCTGGTGGTTATGGAACAATTTACACTGCCAAATACAAAATAAGCGAACATCCAATCATTCAACAACAAGACCGCGTTGTACTCAAAAGCTATAACGATTTTAATCGAAAGCCAGAATTATTTATTTCCGAGGCAAGTAATCTCTGATTCCATACTCTAAATTTATCGAAGTTATATTTATCTTTTGTTTTTTTTTTTTAATATAGCTCAGGAATCATGCCAAGTGTTCGTATATTTTTTTTCTTCAAATTTATGGAATCACACAACGACCAGGGACATTAGATTACATGATCGTAATGCAATATGCCAAGGATGATAATCTTATAAAGTACTTGGATCGAAACATCAACAAGATGACATGGAAGCTGAAACTATTATATTTGAGGGATATTGCAACTCGTCTGTACGATATCCATGTCAGGGACCTGGTACATTGTGATCTCCATGGCGGAAACATAGTTCTGGATGGCACGTCTTCCACAAGAGATGGTGATCATAGTGAAGCATTCATATGTGATCTTGGTCTCTCACAATCAAAGGAATCTGGGCCAAAATCAACCATTCAAGGTGTTTTGCCGTTTGTTGCACCAGAAGTCTTTAGTACTCATAAATTTACTCAACAGTCAGACATTTACGCATTTGGCATTATTGTATATTTAATCGCCAGCGGTGAACCGCCTTTCAGGGATAGATCATTCGATAGAGATTTATCATGCGATATTATGGGTGGACTACGACCTGCGATGCCTGATTCAGCGCCAGAAGCATACAAAGAACTTGCTGAGTGGTGCTGCCATAACGACCCGAACAAACGTCCAGCGTGCGAGGAACTTCGTTCATATATCGAAGATCTTTTTAACAGAATAGATAAAGATAAGTCTGAAAACAATGTATGGAATACCATCTATTATACGAACGTAGAACTTTTGTCACGCCCTGAGAAGGAGAGTAAATTCTCTAGTAAGATTTATACGACTGTAGACCTTGGAAAAACACCTGATATCAAATGAGTTTACAAAATCTATACATAAAAAAGTGATAATAATAAATCTGTATCACCACTCTCTCGTTAGTTCATGTTATTCAATAAGCTTTCTTCCAAACATCGCCGATAACTTGGAGGTCCCATATATTATAATGTGTCAATAGCGCCCAGGGTGTACTATATGGTGACTTATCTTTAGCTAAATAACAAGAGTTTATTATACACATACATATGCGATGCGGGAACTGCAAATATGCTCACGTCTCGTTTCATTTTCAAATTTTTTCCCGAATCTAATAGTACTTATTATATGAGTAGATTCTTAACCCAATAATCACAGCCAAGAGATTTTTAATCGACCCGCTTCTTAAATTTCAACATCAACTCGTAACAGCGGTTTATGGCTTCATACTTGTACTTCGCTTTAGTGTCTGGTGTAGCCAATTCAGGATCATATTTTCGAAATATCATTGCGACAATAATTTTCATTTCAGTCATAGCCAACTGCCTGCCTGGACATACACGCAGACCGCCTCCGAACATAGGAAATTTGCTCTTCATGCTGTTGTTTTCTTTCAGGAAACGATCGGGGTTAAATTCTTTTGGATTGGGCCAATGTTCAGGATGTACCTGAATTCCAGCGATGCTAACGAATAGTAGTTCGCCGCCCTATTTTGAGAGATAAAAACGTGAATATGATGTTGAGATATAACACGCATTATACGTAATAGTAATGCTTTGTGTTTTATTTATTACCTGGATCGGATATCCACTAATTACATCGTCCTTATCGGGTGATCTGGATGTGACAGGTGTAACTGGATGCAGTCGAGAAACCTCTTGGATAACGGCTTCTGTATATTCAAGTTTGTTCAAATCTTCGTAGCTGATTAAATGAGCAGGATCTGTACCGAGGACTGTGTCTAGTTCAGAACGAAGACGCTTCTTGACCTTTGGATATTTGATTATCCAATATATTATGGAACAAATCAAGTTTGATGACTATATACATAAAACCGATAATTAGAAAAATGTGCATAGCCCTAATAAATACTCGCAGAAATCTCACCGTATCAATGCCAGCAGTTGTTATATCTATGAAACAATTTCCAATCTCTTCATCTGTTAGTGGCGGCTCAGCAATACTCTCCACCTTTTTCGTCATATCCTTTGGTGTATTCACCACAGCCAGCAATGTCATTAAATCAGGTCTCAAATTGATCGGCTCATCAGTATTCATGGTTTTCTCCTTTATCTCTCGGATAACTTTGATCAACACTCCTCGTAACCAAATCAAGTTATCCACATACTCTTTGGTCTTTTTGCGACCAAAGGGAGTTTTATTGCGAATAATCTCTGGAGTGAATCGGAAATACTTCAACGAACGAAGGTGCTTCTGCAAAGCTTTCACAAAGGTGTCTGATTCGGCAACTGCTTCTTCCGAATATGGAGCAAATTTGGGCGGGTTATGAGAATTATATAACGTAGCCAGTGTGCAGGCGTACTTGTTCATTGTCATGGCAAATAGCATGTCCGTAAAGAGCCGTGGAGTCCAATCGGCAAAGTTGAACTCTTTTTCGTCGAATCCTAACTCAAGCAAATATCCTTCCATTTCCACAAACACCGACTGTATCCATTCTATAACCGGTTTGGTGAATACGCCACTAGTAACAGCCTGAGCAAACATTTTCCTATTGAAAGCCCATGTGGTTCTATTTCTATTAAACACTATACCCGACGAGGAGAACCCTAGCATCTCGTATTCATGATTTTCCCGTGTTCTGTGAAAATAGTTACTGTCTCTTGAAGGGCTCATCAATTTCTCCGCTAAATCAGCTCTGGCCAACCAGATAATCTTTGCATTACCAACATACGTTTCCCATATGTCACCATACTTCTCCTGACAGTGTAGCCCCCATTTACCAATATCCCCGGCAAACAATAATATTTGAAAGAGATTGCCCACTAATGGAAGCGGAAAGGGTCCAGGAAGCGGATTTGTGCGATTGAAGTACAAAACGTAAAACTTGACGACATAGAGTATAGAAATAATACAGAAGACATTCACGGCATCCCAGAAAGAAAAAAGCAAAAACGTCTTAATTATCGTTGGCATGTCGAATGAATTGGGCACGTATCATGAGGTATGTGTAATTATCGAAGAACAGTCATCGTTTTTCTTCTCTTCCATTTGTGATTGTGTAATCAGAAAAGAAGCCATCTGTGGTATAACGGTAACGGCGTCTCCCATTGATTAATCAGATTAAGGTTGGGTCGCAAAGAGAAATTTTCGATCTGACAGATTAAATATCATACTAATACTATCAGCTGATCACAATTCAGTATCTTATTGGCTATGCGCTCAAATGCCATTTTGGCCCGTAACATGTGATCGTCCATATTGAGTATGAGTTGTAATGATCACCCTATTTTTTGCCTTGCGGCGCCGCGCATAAATGAGTTTCGACAAAGCGCTTAATTCTCAAAAAGGTGGTATAATTGCAACTAGGTTAAATGATGCAACAGTCGCAATAATGATAGAATGCCATCGTACAACAGTTCAACAGTTTTTTGCAGCCTAATCAGGAAAATTTCCGCAAAACGATCAGGTCAGCCTCAATCAGCGGGATCGACAAAAATTGAAAACCGCCGTTACTGCGAACAAAAAACACGACGACAAAAATCCGAAGCAATTTCTAAAGCTAAAAACCGACGAATTTCCACAAGAACACTTCACCATGCCTTTATGAAGAAAATGTACGTTCGTGTATTCCTTTAAAAAAGCCTCTCATCTTGAAAAAAATCGGAAAATTCGACTCGAGTGGGCAATGGAAAGGAAGGTTGCAGACTGGAAGAAAGTCATATAGTTGGATGAACCTACTTTCTCTCAGTTGCGGTGGCACTGAAAAAACGCAATTCTCAGCTTTCAAATGTTCACAAACTTGAGAAGGCAGCAAAAGAAGAGTGTAATGCGCGATTCAACAAGACCTTTCACTATGCCTCCGATTTTGCTATTGGAGCAGTGTTAACTCAAGATCATGGAAAAGGTGAACAACCTGTCGCTTATGAATCAAAAAAGTTATCAGCAGTTGAACAAAATGCGCCACCCATGAAAAAGAATTATTAGCTATTATTCATGCTATTAGATTATGGCGTACGTATCTAGAATCCCTCTCAAGACAACAAGCAAGATGGCTTGATACTCTCCAAGCCTATGACTTTCAAGTGAAATATCGACCAGAGAAAACGAATACGGTAGCTGATGCACTATCGCGACAACCACACCTCAATACTATAACCACAATAACTACGACTCTTATGAATGATAATATATTGGAAAAGGCTTATCAAGAAGATAGTTATTTTGGACCAATTTTAGATACACTCCAAAACCCTGATCAAGCAAGTGAAAAACAAAAGACTTGTGCCAAGCATTTTGAAATACAAGAAAAGTGGCTATGTACGCAACAAATGACAGTACCATCAGATAAGCAAATTTGAACAAACATATTACATAAACATCATGAAACAAATATCTCAGGACATTTGGGAATTGATAAAACATTATGCGTGCGTAATTTCTACTGGCCAAAATGGAAAAGGACATTCGAAAATATGTGCAGACGTGTGATACCTGTCAAAGGAATAAATCAAGCAATCAACAACCAGCTGGACTTCTCTACCCTCTAAGGACACCAATGGGAAGAAATAGCAATGTATTTTATTTTACAGTTACCTTTAACAAAACAGGGACACGATGCGATAGTAGTATTCACAGATCGTCTCACTAGACGAGCTATTTTTCACCTCCGCAAATGCTCCTACAATCGCCAAAATATTTTTTGCTACAGTATTTAAGAATCGCGGGTTACCTCAAACTATTATTTCAGACAGAGACCCTAAATGCGCCAGTTGTTTTTGGCAAGCATTATTTAAACGCCTTGAAACGAAAACCACGCATTCCACCCTCAAACGGACGGGCAGACTGAGCGGCTCAATAGGACATTAGAAGAAATATTACGTATTTACACTACATACAAACAAGATCAATGGGACGAGTATTTACCTGCTGCAGAATTGCATATAATAACTCTAAGCAAGCCTCGACGGGATTTACGCCTTTTGAACTTGATACCGGTCAACACCCTCATACGCCAATTACACTAGCAAAGAGGAGTACTATCGATGTACCAGCAGCTAATGATTTTATCGAACATTGGAATATTATGTTAAAAATTATTTGAGAAAAGCTCAAGAAAGACAAACGAAATATGCCAATGATCACAGAAGGCATTTAACATTCAAACAAGGAGATCAAGTATTACTCTCTATGAAAAATACTAATAACCCAGTTGACATCAGCCCACAAAGAAGTTAGCATATAAGTTGAACCTCCCTGAAACAATGAAGATTCACCCTGCCTTCCACGTCTCACTTCTGAAACCATACCATCCCTCTCCAGAAGAATTTGCAAGACCAACACCGCCTCTTGCTATTGTCGAATCTGATACCGGACAAGAAGAATATGAAGTTGAAGCAATATTAGATAAAAGAATCATCCGAAAGAATACACAATATCTAGTTAAATGGACCGGATATCCGTTGCACGACACGACGCAACATGGGAACCCGTACAAAATAAGGAATTCGAATTAACGCGGACGTCGAATTTTGAGGAGGGGAAAATGTAACAATTTGCAATATCGTAATCATTGAGTAATGTGAGGACCTATTTGGTGTATTCTCTATGTCGTAATATGTTTATGCTTTTATTGCATCATTATTTAGTTATTATGTAGTCATAATTATACATATATTTTTATACCATATATCGTCATAGTTATATATCGTCACGGGAATATGTATTATAAAAGAACATTAATAAAACAATAAACCGTCCATTGACTTTGAGATTACTAACATTATTTCGAAGTCCTTTACGGATTTAATATGAATTGGTTTCATATATATTTTTTTTATAGAGATAGCCCTATGTTAATCATGTTATGGTTTATATTATATTCATCACATTCTGGTATGATAAAAATTAACAAGTCCATAAGTTATGAATGAGCACCATTATTACGTCATCAGTCACACTGGTCAGTTTTACAGCCACATCATCGTCAGCCCCTCATTTATACTTTGTCTGGTTTTGTTGCAACATGCCCCATATATGAAAACGGTCGCATAAAATTCTTGTGAGCTTACCAGAAGAGGTAATTGAATGTTAGTCCGAAATATATGGGAAATGATGCACACAAATGACGCCACCACCTTGCAACGGAAGACGGGGAAGTTTTGAGACAACAGTATGACAGAATGAAAGAAACAACGTTGACTAATTGAATTGAAGCCTAACAGAATCGTACCGCGGGCAAATCCTAATATTGTGTCCTAAAGACTGTTTACATTTTACTTATAGTTTTAATCGATCCGTTTCTTAAATCTCAACATCAACTCGTAACAACGGTTTATGCCCTCATACTTGTACTTTGGTGTGGTGTCTGGTGTAGCCAATTCAGGATCATATTTTCGGAATATCATCGCGATAATAATTTTCATTTCAGTCATTGCCAACTGCCTGCCTGGACATAAACGGAGACCGCCTCCAAACATAGGAAATTCGCACTTGATGCTGCTTCGATCACGTTCCAAGAAGCGATCGGGGTTAAATTCTTTTGGATTGTGCCAGTGTTTAGGATGTAATTGAATTCCAGAGACGCTAACAAATAGTAGTTCGCCGCCCTATTTGAGAGATAAAACGTGAATATGATGTGTTGAGATATAACACGCAATATACATAATTGTGTTCTATTTATTACCTTGATCGGATATCCGCCAATCACATCGTCCTTATCAGGTAATCTTGAAACGAAAGGTGTAACTGGATGCAATCGAGAAACCTCTTGGATAACGGCTTCTGTATATTCAAGTTTGTTCAAATCTTCGTGGCTGATTATACGAACAGGATCTGTACCGAGGACTGTGTCTAGTTCGAAACGAAGACGCTTCTTGACCTCTGGATGTTTAACTATACAATATATTATGGAGCAGATCAAGTTTGATGACTATATAATTAATACATAAACCGATAGTTAGTAAAAAGAAATCTGGTTGTTTGCATAACTTCCATAAAGAAATCTCACCGTATCAATACCACCAGATGTTATATCTATGAAACAATTTCCAATTTCTTCATCCGTTAATGGTGGCTCAACAATACTCTCCGACTTTTGCGTCATATCTTTTGAAGTATTCACTGCAGCCAGCAATGTCATTAAATCAGGTCTCAACGCCTCGTCAGTGTTCATGATTTTCTCCCTTTTCTCTCGGATAATATTAATCAATACTCCTCGTAACCAAACCAGGTTATCCAAATAATCTTTGGTCTTTTTGCGACCGAAGGGAGTTTTATTGCGAATAATTTCTGGAGTGAATCGGAAATACTTCAACGCATGAAATTGCTTCCTCATGGATTTCACAAAGATGTCTGATTCGGCAACTGCTTCTTCCGGATATGGAGCCAATTTGGGTGGGTTATGGGAATTATATAACGTAGCCAGTGTGCAGGCGTACTTGTCCATTGTCATGGCAAATAGCATGTCCGTAAAGAGCCGCGGAATCCAATCGGCAAAGTTGAACTCTTTTTCGTCGTACCCTAACCCAAGCAAATATCCCTCCATCTCCACAAACATCGTTTGTACCCATTCTATAGCCGGTGTAGTGAATTTGCTACTAGTAATAGCCTGAGCAAACATTTTTCTATTGAAAGCCCATGTGGTCTTATTTCTATTAAATATTATACCCGACGCGGAAAACCCTAGCTCATTGAATCCACAATTCTCCCATGTTCTGTGAAAATAGTTACTGTCTCTTGAAGGGCTCATCAATTTCTCCGCTAAATCAGCTCTGGCCAACCAGATAATCTTTGCATTACCAACATACGTTTCCCATATGTCACCATACTTCTCCTGACAGTGTAGCCCCCATTTACCAATATCCCCGGCAAACAATAATAATTGAAAGAGATTGCCCACTAACGGAAGCGGAAAGGGTCCAGGAAGCGGGTTTTGGCGGATAAAGTACAAAAAGTAGAAGTTGACAACGTAGAGTATAGAGATAATACAGAAAACATTGACGGCATTCCAGAAAGAAAAAAGCGAAAGAGTCTCGAGTATCATTGGTATGTCGAATGAAATGGACAGAGTAAAGGGGGGTATCAAAAGATATACAAGCAACGGAGAACATTCTTGCTTCCGATTTGTGATTGTGTAATAGTAACGGAAATGGTAACGGCTCCTATTGCTGTATTGATGCATCAGATTAGGGTTGCGTCATGCTAAACCGCAAAGGAATTTTCCTTTTACGTTACGCTTACGCTATTGTTTTTTCGATAATGATAGGTTGCATCAATAGATTCTCGCATATCACATGTACGCCCCAGCTGTTATCTACTTACTATCTTTGTATCTTTATTAACAATTATGGGAGACTACCTTAAACAAATATGCAGGCGCATTTATTTGTCTCGTACTGTGATCGCACAATTTGATTGGGGAGATTTCTGCGCTAAACTATAAAAACTTCGCCCGCCCTTGCACAGTCATAAAAAATATGATGGATAACAAACCTAGAAAAAAGACTATTTCGCAAAATTTGACAACCGACTCATTCATTCCGATGGTTTAATCATTAAATACGCTTCAAGTCAGGTTGAAGTTACTTATCACGTGCTTTTGCGGAGTTTCTGGCTACGTAAGCAAGAATAGCGATAATAAAATTAGGCAAGGTCTCCAAATTCATTTTAAGCGGTTATTAATGTAATAGACTTGTGAATGTAGCCAGTCAGAAGTCTGCTTTGAAAAATGTCGTTGGATTCATACTATTTCATTTGGTTCTAACTTTTAATTTTATTGCCGTTTTCAAAATGCTGTCCCACCTTGTGGATTATAAGAAATTCTATGGGTATAGTGAATACAAGTATCACTTTCTACGACAGAAACCAGTGTGCTAAGTTGCAACTTCCTTACTATGTGATTACAGACTGATTACAGGTGATTACAGGTGATTACAATTCAACTTCAAGCGATTCTAAGAAGTTCTCTAAATGCTGTTTTTAGTTACGGGACGTTCGTTTAATGAAGACTTGAGGTGGAGGATAGTTTACTTGTATCAAGACGGTTACAATAAGCGGCGGATTAGTGAACTCCTTTATATGAGTATGCAAGACTTTAAGGAACTTTAGGAGATGGAATTGTAGATAACCCCATTTCAAGGTGCTTCCAGTCGTAAGAAGCTGTTCAAAGACTGGGACATGAAGGTCTTTAGCAGATTTTGTTGGATTGTTCCCTATTTTCCATAAAACTTAACACATACTCGATAACAGAATCTGAAGAAACTGGTAAAGGAAAGAGTAGACTGGCTTTTGGATGAATTGGTTGTGGAAATGGAAGCAATATAAATAGTAGGTAAGCGAGTATCGATTGGCAGGCGCTCATTGGATATTGTGAAATTACATGGAAGAAGGGAATAAAATTGCATGAACGCTCTCTCGTAAATATGGATACTTATATATAGGTAACAAAAAACTTTACTTTGAGGTTAAAGGATTTCTTGTCTACAGATGACAAGCACTCATCAGCAAAGGCTATTTCTATAGCTTGCGAATCTTCGTAGAATCTATATGTTTTCTTTTGATCTCCACGTTTGTTGAGTCTTTGGAAAGTTACTATTGCAAGTAGAGCACAAAATAAATAAAACTCGTTATCTAAGTTCAAATCATATCCACATAAATCATTGCGAGTTCGTGTGTCAGTATCGATATAAAATGTATAATTGTTGTGTGTTAGTATGTCACGTGACTATAATTTTTGAAACACCGCGCTAATATACTTAATTATTCTATTAGAATGACTTCTTTACCCGTGCTTTCTTACCGCATACACCTAATCTGTAACGTAAATCAGCAACAAATTTTGAGAACCATGTTTGCCATACAAACTTGAGTCCTGCAAATTAGAGATGAAATAAAATGGGACTTCTAAGTATTCGATCAAACATCACAATGAAATTAAAGCCTAATGCTTTGAATTTAATATAAGAAAAAAATTTTACAACGAGCAAGATCTGGACTATATAGAGAAGTGTTACTTTTGAGGATGCTCAGTTGCAATTGCTAGTCATAGTGAAGCATGGCATCTGAGCTGATTTTTTTCCCAAAAAACTTCTGGCAGTATACTATTTGCATAGAGCTTTTACAGAAAATACCTAGCTGACTAGTCATTTGTGTGTAGCAGTATATGGGGCAGTGTTAATAAAGTTCGTCCACTTGTAATGTTTTTCTGACGTCACTGTTTCGCAGAACGTGCCTTGTCAAGAATGCAATGAAATCCAGCTTTACATCGTGCGAAAAAATACTGATTGTTGGGTTGAAACGAAAATGTAATCTCGTTGAAATTATTCCACGTACGTCACACCCCGTATATACTTCATAGAAATCTTCCTTTTTGTTACAGACAAACGTGTGTCCTATATTGGTTTCCGTATTATGCAGGTACATTACACAATACATTGTGGATTAAACTGGGATAGATCCGAGTGTATTAAGTTGGTGAACCCCTAACAACGTATATCGCAGATTTGCTGCCAGGCCGCAGCATTTAATACGCCTTTGTTCTTATATATGGAGATACTATTATCCATCAACTATGATAAAGTTATCCATTGCACAAATTGGGGAAGCTCAAATCTAGCTTATTCCAATCAAGTGTACAAATCAGACGTCTCACATGCTAATATGTGGGAACAAACCCATCTCTTTAGTTTTTCGGAGTCGTGCACCGAGTTCCTAAAGGTTAGTGCGCTAAAAAAGGCTAACATACGCAAAAAAGAATTGATCAATATTTAAACAAGCAGTAGAACAGCAAAGATAGATGTGTTTGTAATCTTCTTTACAGCAAAATCAAAGAACGAGCTGTCATAAATTCAGAGTCTTGCAATCATCTTGGAGCAACTGTCGACACTGTTTGCAACGTAGTACTGATCTATTGGATATTCAGGTTCCCCAATTAATTCGGCAGCACGATTCAATGACATCAGCACCTTCGAAATATGGGTTCTCTACCAGAAACATGGTTATGGCTTTGATTGTTATATTAATTGCTGCAATTTACTGGCCGCCACAACCGCCTAGAAATCTTGTTGCTGAATTTGCAGCTATTACCAATGAAGCATTTGAACAAATTAACACTTTTGATCTACCGGGTACGTGTGTTTAAAGAATATATTTCGTACGCCTTAGACTTAACTCATTACTTTCAATATTAGCGACATATGTAATCATGGACCACACAGTGACATGCAGAAGAACCGCAAATATAGTTGAAAGAAGTTTCGTTTTCGAAAATAATGGTGCACAAATCGTTACCGGTCTGCGAGATTTTGGTGAGAAAATTATGAAGGCTGGTAACACTTTACAGGCCATGTACCGTAAAGTGTCCTACATTTTCGAAACTTTTCAAACCGAATTTCAAATGATATTGGACGATAAATCTAAATTTTCTGACATCGGCATTGAAAGATTAATTAGATTAATCACAGAGTTTCGTGAGCAAGTAGTACAAATAAAGGTATCGATACAGGATGCGGAAAATTTACATAAAAATATCGAACAATATTTACTCAATGGACAAAAAGAAGCAGCAAAACTCATTAATGCCGACGATGATGTTGGTGCAATGGCAGTCAAAGATGAACTGGATTCGATTAAGGCTATCTTTGTTTGTCTTCAAAAGGCTGGCACTAATTTAGACATGACTATCAAAGTTTTGAGAGATTATCTAAGTAAGGCATCAAAAATTAATGCAAAAATGGGTAACAACATCTATCTAGTTACGGAAGAGGATTTGGTTTATTTGGCGAAATCGCTGAAAGATTTGCAAATTCATCACAGAAATTTTATGCGCAAAGATAGTAGTATAAACGAGGTTTAGGATACGCAAGCTAGTAGCATAATATTTGGTAATAACAGATTACTACAGACTCATTTTGCTTTTAGTACGAAAGTTTCGCATTGTATAATAAAGAATAGCATGCTAACTGTCCACACATTACGCTTTCGCATACTTTTGGATAAAATTGAAAATGTACTAACCCGCGTCAAAATTTTGGTATTAAAACATTGATCTGAAGTATTTATAAACAGTACCGATATATTGAGAACAAAGCAATGACATTAAGAATTTGTGATTAGTAAATTTTGGAAATTAACATAGTTGAGGGTTTTGGTAGTTACGTGGAATCCATGGTGGGACAAAAACAAAATTTTCTTCGAATTTACAACCTCGCTGACGTCGAGTGTAGTCGACTTAATTTTCCCAACCCTCAGCTGTCGCAGTGTTTAGATAATTGTCTTGGTACATCCGTACGCAGCATAGTTCTGCTGATCGATCGGCGATGCAAGCTACACAGTTTTTAAGTTAGAGTTTGTGAACAAGCATCTTGTTTGTCATTTGTAAAATTTAACGGAGACACCGAAAAATGACAGCGTACTATGAAGACCGTTTTCGGAAGGTTAAATAAAGATCATTTGAAGAATAGCTGCTGCCATGTAGTTAATGACAACATTTTATTGTAATTAATATTACTTTGTATAAAAAAAAACTAAATAAGAATATTCCGATATTCAGGTCAATAACAGAAAGCACCAATTCAAAAAACAGTAATATTCTATTAATGTTAATTTTAAATACTCAAAGTTACCATCGATTATTAGTTATCCGTCTTAATAAACCTTGATTTGGGCGTTTTTTATTAAGCACAGCTATTTCAATAAACCTTAATTAGCCTTAATATCACTCTGTATTTGTTAGCTAGAGACTAGCTATTTTGGAGTAAAAATTACTGCGTACGAAAACTTAAAATTAATTGCTGATCAAAGACATACGTAATCGGACAATTTGTCTGTTCCAAAAGATAACAGACTTACTAGATAAAAACTATATGAAACCCTTTTCTTGATACACAAAAGCTAGAATGCAAAAGGGAGGGATATGTAGCTCCAATTTATGAAGTCCTTTATGCAGGAGTAAATATGCATCTGTTGGATCTCGAAGCAATCATACAGAAACTTTTATGGAATAATATAAGACAATGCTTATATGAATATCAAGATATCATCGATTGTGACAGCTTTAAGGGGTCCTTTTGTGTAGCATATCCACCAGCTGACATGCTACGTTCGACAATCAACTAATCCCCCACGAAAGTAAATTTATGTCTAGATGTCTTCGGACACCAATGTACAAAGAAGTTTCTGCCCAAGGTCTTAATGGAGACAGCTGTTAGCTATAAACTTGCTATTCTACAATATTTTTACTGTACTGTATCGGGTTAGTCGAAATGTTGGGTTAATTAAAATGCTTATACTAATACGTTTGTTTTAAATTGATTTGCGTGAGAACATTTTCTTGTCAGAGGTAAAAAACGCACGTACCCATTATTGGTTTCCATACTAAGCATACATCATCCGTTGATTAAAAAAGATAGATCGGGCATTAAACCTTTTCCAGATTGCGTTTGTTGATATCAATACTTTCAATCAGAAACACTCACCGTTTTATTCGGCTGTATTGAAACAAGCAATATTTTTGTCAAGCTTTGGGCAATATTCTGTGCTGTACGGTTGGTTGTATTAAAGATCTGTTTCAATACACTAACTAGTATTGCCAGACAGAATTATTTCCAGATTATTAGAATTATGTATGCTATGAATAAACGATATCTGGCCGCAGCAGTTAGATTTGTTTGTCTTTGTTCTTATATGGAGATACTATTATCCATTGCTCATGATAAAGTTATATCCATTGCACAAATTGGAAAGCTCAAATGAATAGTCTAACTAATCAAGCCTGAATGTAGAATGGGATTTTATGTATAGTGTACTTTTTTCACAAGCTAAGGCTTAGAATAAGAACAAACAAACCATCATCAATTTTCGGAGTTGTGTTCCCGCTTTTTCCGATGTCATGTTCAAACGTTAACTTGCATAAAAATCTAATATTTATATGAAATAACAGATGATTGAGCATTTTTAACGATGCCTAGAATAGTACATCGATTTATAACTATGAGCATTCTTTTAATTGCTATACTTTACTGGCGGGTAAGCAAAAACAATTTAATATTTTTATCACATATTCATCTGTTAATTAACAATCAACAAAATGGTTTGATGCTACCAACCAAGCCAAACAGTCCAGGCGGCAATCTCATTGGAGGTAGGCACATACTGTATAATAATAATTTACAGATGCGTATAAACACATAAGAGTCTATTGATAAGTACAAATTTTATTTTCAAATGCAGCGTTAGATGTTATTATAAAACACACGAGTGGATTTGAAACTGCTGCAATTATAATTGAAAACAGTCCTACTTTTGCATATTCTGGTAAAAAAAATTGCCAATGGACTTCGACAGTATAGAGGAAAAATTACGCCTGCTGGTAACAGTCTCAAAGAAATGCATCGGAAAGGGTCCTACCTTTTTGGAACTTTTAAGACGGAAATCGAAACACTGTTGAACATATTTGATGCCAAGTTAGTCGATAAATCCAGTTTTTTTAAAGAAAGAATTGGGAAAATGCTTAGAATAGTCAAAGAGCTTCGTACACATCTACAGAAAGCAAAGGACGCAATGCTGAACGTGGATGGTGATAGTCTTGAAAAAAATATATTTAGCGGGCTGAGAGGAAAAGAGTATGACTGGTTTAAAAGCCAGAACGATGTCGATATTTGGAAGCTTCTTCAAAATGCAGGCGAAATTTCAGACAAAATACGTAAGGCGTTGTACGAATATGAGAGTAAAAGCCAGAACGATGTGTCAATAGTCGTCGATATTTGTAAGTTTCTTCAAAATGCAGGCAAAATTGTAGACAAAATATTTAAGGTGTTGGACGAATATGAGACAAATTTATTAGAGGTTCAAGCGCAGTTAGGTGGTTTGGTTATAGTTACTAAAGCAGATTTTAACTATTTGATAAAATCGCTGAGAGACTTGCACAAAAGTCACCAAAAATTTATGCTAAAAGATAGTAAACCAACCTTTATGAACAGGTTATGGTCAATTTAGTAAGCAATAGCCTATTTAGTTGTTTACAGAAATCAAGCATGAATTATAACAACAAAATATGTATTTGACTGTCAATTTTAAATAATAATATACTATTCATATTTTGCTATGTTTTCCTTTACTCATACTTGACGGGAAAAGAAGAAACAAAAAAGCCATTGCAACACAAATTTTAAATTTTTACTAAATTTGGGTATTAACTCAATAGTCTTCGCGACGTTATAATATTATTGACGGTTTTTACAAGATTGACAGATTAAACTCCACCGTGCGGTATACAGCTGATGAACACGCCCTGATCTTCTGTTGGAAGGTTACGGAGGAGTCCGAAGACAACAAACTTACTAGCTAAAAAACAATACGAACCCCTTTTTTAGTGAAAGTTGATGCACAAAGGCTAGAATGAAACTAGAAGGATGTAGCTCACGATTTGTAAGTGCTTTATGCAGGAGTAAATATGCACAAATAAATGCTGTATTGGTTGAATCTCAAAACAAAGCTAGAATTCAAATAAATCTTTTATGACGACAACACTTTATATAAATATCAATATGGTTAGCTATTAGATAACTTTAGTCTGTGAAATTATTGTACATAAATCGGTAATAGTAATAGCAAAAAAAGATTTATTTTTATGTGGCTAATCGTAATAGCTTTAAGGGGTCTTTTTGTGTAGCATACCAACTAACGACATGTTGCGCGCTCGACAATCAACTAATTCTCACGAAAATATAAAATTTATTGCAAAAAATGTCTCGATGTCTTCAGACGCTCGCAAACATCATACTTTTCTGCCCAAGGTCTTTGTTAACTATAAAACTTGCTATTCTATAATATTTTTACTGTATCGGGTTTAATCGAAATGTTGCTGTATTTAGGTTAATTAAAATTCTTATACGTTTGTTTTAAGTTGATTAGCGTGAGAATATTTTCTTGTCAAAGGCAAACGCGCACCCCATTATTGGTTTCATACATCATTCATTGTTGATTAAAAGGATAGAATCGAGCGCTAGACCCTTTACAGACTGCGTTTATTGATATCGATTTTTTTAATAAGAAATATTGTATTCGACTATGTCGAAATAAACGGTATTTTTGGCAATATTCTGTGCTGTACAGTTAGTTTTATTAAAGATCTATTTCAATGCACTAACTAGCATTGTCAGACAGAATTATTATTAGAATTGTGTATGCTACGTATAAACGATATCTGGCCGCAGTTAGTTTTGTCGGTTTTGTTTGTCTTTGTTATTATATATGGAGATACTATTATCCATTTCTCATGATAAAGTTATCCATTGCACAAATTAAGAAGCTCAAACAAATAGTCTAACTAATTAAGCCTAAGTGTAGAATGGGATTTTATGGATAGTGCACTTTTTTCACAAGCCAACCATTATCAATTTTCGAAGAGTTGTGTTCCCGATTTTTTTTATGTCATCTTCAAACATTAACATGCATAAAATCTAATAATTATATGAAATTGTGAGCATTTTGAACGATGACTCCTAGAACAGCACATCGATTTATAACTATGAGCACTCTTTTAATTGCCATACTTTACTGGCGGGTAAGTAAAAACAATTTAATATATTTTATTACATATTCATTTGTTAATTAACAATCAAAAAAGTTTTTGCCACCAACCAAGTCAAACAGTCCAGACGGCAATCTCATTGCAGGTAGGCACATATAATGATAATTTACAGACGCGTATAAACACATAAGAGTCTATTGATAAGTACAAATTTTATTTTCAAATACAGCGTTAGATGTCTTTATAAAGCACACAAGTGGATTTGAAACAGCTGCAAATATAATTGAAAATAATCCTGCGTTTGCATCTTATGGTAAGCAAATTGCCAATGGACTTCGACAGTATAGAGGAAAAATTACGCCTGCTGGTAACAGTCTCAAAGAAATGCATCGGAAAGGGTCCTACCTTTTTGGAACTTTTAAGACGGAAATCGAAACACTTGTTAACATATCTGATTTCCAGTTTGTCGATATATCCAGTTTTTTTAAAAAAAGGATTGAGAAAATGTTTAAAATAGTCAAAGAGCTTCGTACACATATACAGAAAGCAAAGGACGCAATGCTGAACGTGGACGATAAGCGTGATAATCTTGAAAAAGATATATGGAACGGGCTGAGAGAGGCAAGAAAGCACCTGTTTAAAAGCTATAACGATGTGTCAATAGTCGTCGATATTCCTCAAAATTCAGGCGAACTTTTAGACAAAACACTTAAGGTGTTGGACGAATATGAGAGTGAAAGCCAGAGCGATGTGTTAATGGTCGTCGATATTTGGAAGCTTCTTCAAAATGCAAGCAAAATTTTAGACAAAATACTTAAGCTGTTGAACGAATATGAGAATAATTTGGTAGAGGTTCAAGCGCAGTTAGGTCGTGGTTTGTTTACAGCTACTAAAGCAGATTTAAACTATTTGATAAAACCGCTGAGAGACTTGTACAAAAGTCACAAAAAGTTTATACAAGAAGATAGCAATCCGATAATTATTAACTGGTTATGGTCAGTTTGATAAATAGCATTATAACAAACAAAATATGTATTTGACTGTCAATGATACATGTATTTTAAATGATAATATACTATTCATATTTTGTTATATTTTTTTTACTCATACTTGGTGCTGCTTAACGGGAAAAGAAAGAAAGAAAAAAGCCATTGCAACACAAAATTTTAATATATTTTTTATTAAATATTAATTTTTTACTAAATTTGGGTATTAACTCAATAGTCTTCGCAATGTTACAATATTATTGACGGTTTTTACAAGATTGACAGACTAAACTCAACCACCGTCTGGTATACAGCCGGTGAATACGCTCTGATCTTCTGTTGTTGGAAGGTCACGGAGGTGTCCGAAGACAACAAACTTACCATACGAAACCCTTTTATAGATGCACAAAAGGCTAGAATGAAACTAGAAGGATGTAGCTCCCGATTTGTAAGTGCTTTATGCAGGAGTAAATATGCACAAGTGCTGCATCGGTTGAATCTCAAAACAAAGCTAGAATTCAAATAAACTTTTTATGAAGACAACACTTTATATGAATATCAATATGGTTAGCTATTAGATAACTTCAGTTTGTGAAATTATTGTACATAAATCGGTAATAGTAATAGGAAAAAAAGATTCACTTTCATGTGGCTAATCGTAATAGCTTTAAGGGGGTCTTTTTGTGTAGCATACCAACCAGCAATGAAGAACTAGCATACTAACGACATGCTGTGCTCGACAATCAACTAATTCCCACGAAAATGTAAAATTTATTACAAAAAATGTCTCGATGTCTTCGGACGCTCGCAAACATCATACTTTTTTGCCCAAGGTATTAATGGAGACAGCTGTTAACTATAAATTTTGTTATTTTCACTGCATCGGGTTTAGTCGAAATGTTGCTGTATTTAGGTTAATTAAAATTCTTATAGTTTGTTTTAAAGTTGATTTGCGTGAGAATATTTTCTTGTCAAAGGCAAACGCGCACCCCATTATTGGTTTCCATACATCATCCATTGTTGATTAAAAAGGATAGACTCAAGCGCTAGACCCTTTACAGATTGCGTTTATTGATATCGATATTTTTAATAAGAAACATTGTATTCGACTATGTCGAAATAAACAGTATTTTCGTCAAGCTTTTGGTAATAACCTATGCTGTACGGTTGGCTCTACTAAAGACTGAATGACTGAAGGTATTGTCTCACTTTCTAAAGATGACTATAATTATGTATGCTATGTATAATGACATCTGTCCGCAGCAGTTAGTTTGTTGTCCTTGTTCTTATAAATGGGGATACTATTATCCATCGTTTATGATAAAGTTATCCATTGCACAAATTGGGAAACTCAAAACAAATAGTCTAACTAATCAAGTCTAAGTGTAGAAATGGGACTTCATAGACAGCGCACTTTTTTGACAAGCTAAGACCAAGACGTAAGAACAAACACACAATCTTTTTTTCGGAGTTGCGCGCCCGAGTCCTTAGACATTCATGCGCCGGAAAAGGTTAACGTGCATAAAAAATTTCAATATTTATAAATAATGGATGACTGAGCGCATTTCTAACGGTGGCTGGAATGGCAACAAATGATAACGTATGAATATCTCTGTATTTAGTCCCGACTTAAAATATTTATGTTAGTAGTCAATTAAGATAGTAATGGGGCTGACAATTATCAACTTTATTTACTAGACTGAACATGCTACCGCGCGTAACAAGTTACATCACCTTAGATGGGATAGAATTGAAAATTTTACCACCTTTGTCAGGGAATTTCTCAGGCTTGCTAATATTGCTGGACTAAACGGTGTGACGGAATCGCAAAAAATAGATATGTTTTTGCAAACCCTCCCGCCTGCTTTCACCAAAACCATTAAGGATACAATAAGTAACCGACAAACCAATAACGCAGAGTTTCAACCAACTTTGGAACGAATTATCGACATGGCTGAACAACGCAGCGATGTATTTCGATATCGATATGGTTCTTGGTATATTTACGCTTCTCAAAATTTTTGGTTTTTGTTCGACTACGGCTTGCGCAATCCCCAACGATTTTTGACTCTGAGCACTATTGTGATTGCCATACTTTACTGGCAGGTAATAAAAATAATATTTTGATATTTTTACTACACATTCATTTGTTAATTAAAAATTTTTTACAATCGAAAAAGTTTTTGATGCCGCCAGTGAAGCCAAACAGTCCAGTTGGTAGTCTCGCAGCTCTTACCAATGATATATTCGTACAAATTAACTCTGTCGATATTCCAGGTAGGCATATATAAATGGTAATTTACGTACGCGCATAAACACATGAGAGTTTACTCATAAATTTTTATTTCAAACGCAGCATCAGATGCCATTATGGAGCATACGCCTGAATTTAAAATAGCTGCAAATAAAATTGAAAGGAGTCCTGCTTTCTCATCCACTGGTAGGCAAATTGCCAATGGACTTCGACAGTTTAGTGGAAAAGTTATACGTGCTGGTAACAGCCTCAAAGATATGTATCGGAAAGGGTCCTACGTTTTTGAAACTTTTCATACGGAAATCGGAACACTGTTGAACATATTTGATGCCAAGTTTGCCGATAAATCCAGTTTTTTTAAAGAAAGAATTGGGAAAATGCTTAGAATAGTCAAAGAGTTTCGTACACATGTACAAAAAGCAAAGGACGCAATGTTGGACGCGGATACTCAGCGTGATGATGTTGAAAAATATATATTCAGCGGGCTGAGAGAGGCAGAAAGGTATATTCATTTGGACTGGTTTAAAAGCCAGGCTGATGTATCAATGGCGAAACGTGAACTGGATGCAACTGTCGATATTTTGAAGTGTCTTCAAAATACGGGCAGGAATTTAGACAAAATACTTAAGGTTTTGGACGAATATGAGAGTGGTTTATTAGAGGTTCAAGCGCAGTTAGGTGGTTTGGTTATAGTTACTAAAGCAGATTTTAACTATTTGATAAAATCGCTGAGAGACTTGCACAAGAGTCACCAAAAATTTATGCTAAAAGATAGTAAACCGACCTTTATGAGCAGGTTATTGTTATTTTGGTAAGCAGCAACATAGTATTCTTCGGTTGCTTACAGAAATCAAGTATAAATTACTAACGGAATGTGTATTTGACTGTCAAAGATACATAGTATTAGTGGCTTGTTTTAAATAAAGATACTATATTTGTTTTTGTTTTTTAATCATACTTGGTGCTTTAACGGAAAAAAAGAAGTCCTTTTTATATTGCTTATCTATCGATTGATAATAGTAAATAATTCCCCTGCTCTCTCAGTGTCATTTGCTGTGATTAAGGTTAAAAGTTATTGTAAACAATAAATTTAACGACCGCATCGAACCCGATTCAAATACAATAATATAACACTAACAAGCAGAAAGCACTGTATTATGCAGAGTATACTCATTCTTGTAGCATATACACGTATATATTATGTATTCACACGTGTTGGCTATTGCTAGATATCTATGTGATGGAGGTAATCTGTGAATGAGTATGTTCGAGAAGTGTTTACATAAGACCAGCAATACACGTAAGTATCGGAATAAGTTGGGTGCTTGATGTTTCACTATCAACCATGTTTTGATTTACACTCACAGAACATGTTCGCTCTCTTAGATTTGCTGATCGAATCGACTAAAGTCTATGATGCCGATTTATATACATTTTCTCCATCGACTACGAAAGAGCAAAAAGAAGGAAACGGACATTAACAACACTTGTAGTGTCATATTTGGTGCGGGCACATGAAGAATTGATCACTATTGTATAGACACACACAACTCAATTAATAACAAATACGAAATAGAGCGGCTCAGCCTTGTAAGTTGAAGACGCGGGATTTCCCGAGAGGGTTGATTGATGCAAACTCTTCAAAATCGAACAGACGGGGTCGCGTATATAAGAATATTTCACCGACTCGAGGGGGGAAAAGTCAATTTTTTCATTACTGTTTTTCAATCCACCATGCCAAAGGTTGATCGAAAAGAAAAAGTATTGATATAGGAGATGAGCATTGATTTTTATATTGTGGTCGATGATTTGGATGGATGAATCAACGTTATTCACGGTCAGAAAACTGTACTATTAATTTTCAGAGAATGAACATTGAACATTGTTTTTAAACCAGTTTTTACTTCCATGCGTGTATAATTTTGGAAGCAAACTTGTGTCATTTGAATAGTTGTTTGTCTGATTTCAGGTTATACTTATTTTAATTTGTTTTGTTTGTTTGTTTTTTTTGTTGTCTTTTTTGTTTGTCCAATTTATCTAATCTTGCTGAGTAGTCGCCTGTATCTACAAATATCACTGACGGACAATGTAATATAATAGATGACAAGCACTTGATCTGGTAAACACCCAATACATAAATCTTATATACATTAGGAAGGTAAAATAATATGAATGATAAATGAATATTGATTATCGATAAAATGTCAAGACAAGTTCAATATAGTACAGCCGTTATAGCAATACTTGCTTTATTATTTATCAGCACAGATTCTTACCAACTACTATTACTATTACTATTACTATTACTATTACTATTGCTTGAAAAATTTACTAAAGGGTACCGCATCAACATCGTTTCTGCCCAAAGTTCCCAAACCCCAATTTTCTTCAATTGTCTTTACTAACGAATAATGAGTATAGGGCGTAGTATCTTCATGAGCGCCCGATGTCACGGAACTCCCAATGAGACTAGCATAGATATGATTTGGACCCGTGTCACCCTCATCATGATCTGATTCATCAAAAACAATAAGAGACAATGTGTTGGTGAAGTTTACATTTTGAAGCTTTTCGTCGAACCACGGTTGGAACCAACTCATCGCATACGTAAGGTTGGTATTGTGAGCATCATTAAATCTGTCGGGTACATAATACGAGAATTGCGGAAGACTGTTTGACGCAAGGTCAGCCTCGAATTGATCGGCATTTACAATGTTTGCACAGCGCGTGGCGTTGGTGTTTATGTTCTTCATCGAAATAAAGGGATTATGTTCGCGAACATAGGCGGCATCTTCAGTTTTCATGCCGGTAAAGCAGTTTCCAGCTAATAAATTGGTATATATAAATATACATATTTAAAGTTACGTCAATAAAATGCAGACTAAACGTTTATACATGTAATAACAACAATAGCAGCAGCAACAACAACTTACGATATTGTTGAAAGTAACCCTTCCAGCTGACTCCCTTGGCCTCCAACAGATCCACCAAGTTGATTCCATCAATATCATAAAATTCATCGTCTGCAATGCCAGCAATGTCACCATAAATGGTTGCTATGTAATTTGGCTGAAAAAGAGTAGTCATACATTAAAGTTACTGAATTCGACCACAATATCGTACAACATAAACTGTCGAATATATAACATACCTGAGAGGGATGTGAGACGCCGTCATAATTTGACATCAAAACGCTGTTGTTTTTTTCTACTAGGCTCTTGAAATAAGGGTTCGCTATTGCATCCGTGTAGTTTGTATTTTCAAAAACAACCATAAAGAAACGATCGAACCATAATCCTGGTACGGCGTTCACCACACTAAGAGTGGCCGCGAGAATAATAATATACGTAAGAATAGCCATTTTATTTTGCTAACTATTATAATAATTAAGGGAAACTGAAAATAAACACATAAATTAAAAGCAGTTTGTAGAGACAATTTAAATTGATATGATGCTATGTGGCAATTCGATGTTGCTTTTTCCTATCCCCCTCCTTCCCCTTGTTCTTTTATATCTTTTCATCCTGGTTGTTTGCCATTCCCTCAGAGCAATGTTTGTCACCGTAAGCGAGTTACAAGGGCTTGCATGATTGTATACCACAAAAGGTGATGCATACATGTTGACTCCTGCCGCTCGGCTATAATGTACGCGGACAATATAAATTAGTGTTTATCTCGAAGGCAAGATGTTTCTATGGAACAATCTATTGCACAATCTATGGAACAACTAACTATACATCTGTACTTGCCTATTAATCCAATTACGCCATTCTGTCGTCTTTTTGCCCCCCAGCCGCACCAGCATTTGATCAGTGATTGGCTACATTCTCAGAGAATGGTTATTACAGTATTAATATTAACTAACAACGCATCATGCAAACCTCCCTAAAAGTCTGGAATTTAAGAATCAATTTATTACGAACCGAGTTCAATTCATTGATATACACACTGTCTTTGAAAAAGTAAACTTACGCTAATGTGCTGAGTCATAAATACGTAGATCATTCTCGGATTGTTCATAGAGCTGTAATGTTAAATACTTACTGTATTTTGCAAACTCCGTTTTGTGATCACATGTTATTTTTAAGAACCTGGCTTTTAACGCCGCTTCCTTTTTGTAAGACCTGTGTTGATTGACTATTTGTTTACGGAACATGTAATTATATTCCCATCCAGCATCTGATTGGTACATTTGAACGGTTAACTTTTTATATTTGTATTACGCCAATCTGCATAATATGTATTATGGTGATCTCGAAATATTCGACTAATTTAGCAATCTATCACTCATTTGGGCATTTGTTTCACCCTTCACTACTATATGTAGACATCAGCGAAGTGTATTTATTATTCATAACTTTGACGGACCCTCTAATAGCATTTTTTACAAGGTTGTTCTATTCTATAACCTTTTCAATTCTCGGAGAGTAACCAGTACCATTATCCCTCCGTGACGATATACTGACTATATATACTTATTCATAATTATATGTAACTTTTCCTACTTAGTAAACCCCATACATACACTCAAATATAAATATTACGTTAAGACAAACATGAAGCTTGTAGTGATTAGATGTTTCTTTGTATTTGCTGTCGTTGCGACTCTTTTACATCTGGAAGCTGTACAAGGTATATATAACCGTAGTAGTATATAATTAGCCGTGGAAGTATATAATGATAGCTTATTCATCTATTCCGACTTCCATGCCATTTTTCCAGCTGCAGCTAAAATACCCGAACCCGCCGCCGCTTTATCAAAAGTAACGTTTTTGAAGAAACGATTACAAGGCATGTATATGACGGGCTTGCTAGAATAATTAGTGCAACACAACCCGGTTCTAAGCAAATTATCTCTTTTTCACTTTTTACATTCGACTAATTGCCTCTTGCATTACTTTTTTTTCAACAGGCGTTCCCAAAAAGCCTTATTCCCCACTCCAACGTCATTAGGTATGTGTTTCTTGATAACAGTAATGCGAATTACGTAAATACTAATATACAGTATTTTAACAAAAAGTTTTACTTTTTTTTCCCCGTTTATTCATAACCAGTATCAGAAAGTTTAAATTGAAAAATGTATTTAAAATGATGTGTTTACGAGATTGTCATGCTATTCATAAAAACGACTCTTACGTCGCATGCACTGCTATTTTCTCAGGTGACTGCAAAATAGATTTAACAAGCAGTTAATGCATTTATTGATATTGCTAAATAATAATGTAGAAATTATAAATAAAAAATTTTTTTCTCTTGTACCTATGTGCAAAAAGAAAAAAAGCAACTGACAATTGTTAAAATTGTTACCAATTAAATTCATAATACAAATAGCAGCAAGATTTTATTAAAGTCAATATGGTATTCGTTCACTATTGTTCTCAATGATCTTATCACAATTTTGTATTGATTCTCCCATAAAACGTTAAGCCAGTCTATGGCTTTGAAACTTTGTCTTTAAGGAATTATTGGGCAATGCAAATAGAATTTTTTGATTCATCCTCGTAATTTACTCCTTCTTAACATGCTTTGTGTGTAATATTTCCGTTATTAGCACCGAAAGACTGACCTTTTACCGAACCACTCCATGCGACAGTTTTTTTTTTCATTATCCTTGCATTTCTTATACCAATGCCTTGTCGTATCACGAAACAATTGAAAGAACGTTTCGTCGCTAAATAATGGTATCCAAGGTTTTTCAATACAGTATCTTGATCCTGTGAGCAGGAGACATTTATATTTACTCCAATTTTACAAAATAGTCATGGTGAAGCTTTAGCCGTTATTTTCTTAACGGACCGACATTACGATTTACAGCACCAGTTTTTTTTTTTAAGGTTCCGTATAGAAAGAACTGTTGCCATAATCATATAAAAAAACTGTATTTCCGAGAATGAAATTCGGGGAATCTCTTCTGTTGAATAGAATAGAATAAACAGTAATAGTATATAAAAATGGCCCTGTATGCTGCTAACCATTTAAAGCATAAATTTGGCTTAATAAAAATTAGTGTAGAAATATGCAATTGTGCCATCAAATGAAATCATCCGACCATTAAGATATGAAGCAAAAGTATATCTACGTTAATAACTTTCAATGAGCTTTTGTGGGAGATAGTGCCTTTTTCGCAAAACGTATCACATGTTCAATTCTTTAGTTCAACGTGTTATCAACTCGAAACTCCGTTTGTATATAGCTACAACGCCAATCGAGCCAAGTCAAGGCATACTCGTCATAATCGGTAGTGAGGTAACACTTTATTGAATCTGTTGACACATGTTCGAGAGATGACGGGTTATTTCCGTCCCGTCTATTTATATCCAAAGCAACGGGCCAATTTAAAGATGACTGGGAACCACAATCTAGTGCTACGTGTAGTACTATTGTCGGAATAATGATGTTATAAATCCTACATTCAGCGGTTCCGGGTCGAATAATATTCTGCAATCTAGTCTTATCCATTGGCTGAACGACAATATATTATGAATTCGAAGAATATTTTCAAATCCCTGCTAAAGTTCCGCCAGAACAATTCCTTGATTATTTAAAATTTGAGCGGGTTTGGCTACAACAATAACCATCAGATTAGAGATATAGAAGTCGGGGGTGCTATAGATGATAAAATAAAATTAGGTAATGCTAAGATATTTACTTGCTAATGTTGAAATTAGCATAGCGATATAACTTGAGTTTCTGGTAAATTGACTAATGCAGAAGAATATGCTAAATAGTCTTTAGAAAGCTATGATGTTTAATATGTTATCCCACAAAGGTCGACAATATATATTGTTTACACCATGCGCACCAAAGTTCTTAACAGCGTTGTGTTTACAATGCAAGGCTAACGCTAAATTGGCATTTAGATTTAATAATTTTATCATAATTTTATGTCACAGAAAATATGTTGAGATCGATTTACTACTCCCTTTAATAAAAATCGCGACCTTCAAAGCGGGAGGAGTGTAAAGGAAGTGCATGGATCTCATTGACTCGGCTAATTTGTTTTCATACATTTATAGGGGAGGGATATTTAGGATTCTGGTCAGAATATCTCTCTGCGACATACCATTGTTAGCATATTGCATAACAATTACGTACTCTTTTGTTACTGGTTCTTGTCACTTATGCACTTGGCATGATTTCTGAAATACAGTATTAATAAAAAATAAATACCTTTTATTCTCATCACCAAGAGTTGAGTGATGAACAAACTTCTGAAGATCAAGGATCACATTAATTATGCTCTACATGTCACTTTGGCAGAAAGTGAAATTAGGCAGCTTGGGAAGCAGAGCATTGTGAGACTATTTGAAGCTACTGTCAAGGATTTGTTGTATAGGTGGGGTCCAATTCCACATATCATTTTTGACCAATACAAGCACCCACTACCACCAGCATTTGATGCAGCGATTCACAATTGTGATGCACCTGAGCTTATCAACAGGATAATACAGGGAGAGTTGCCACCTTACAGTGGCCAGCTCATTTATATTAGTGACAGTCACTGGACATAAGATCATGCTGTATAAGTTATACAAAATTTATTGACATGAATTTTCTCTTTGATAACAATATAACAACAACAATTGTAATGATAAGTAGACTTATACATCTTGTTAAGCTCTATCATTTTGCAGTTATAGATTGTCAGCAAACCATTTGATTAGTAGGCCATGTCTGTTTAAAGTTATTTTTTTTTATCTTTGTGATCAGATTCTCACTAAACTTACATAGAAATTATGGAAAATATATCAGTAAATATCTTGTAAAAATATGGTGTGCAACATATGTATACAGACAGAGAATTTTATTATAGAAAAGGTTTGTAGTACTGGTATGCACAGGAAATCATTTTCTTTTAACGCTATTATTTTTTTGCTGCCGTCAGTTGTTTAAATCATGTGGCTTTTCCTTAAATAGACTTGAGACTGTCATTAGCTTTATCTGCGCCAATAACCATATAACATATTCATTTCATGTGAGTACCAAAATATGACAATACATTTTTGAAATATAAATCATTATAACTTTTCTTTAATGAGCAAAAAATGATTATATCTCTTCCATAAAAAAAAAACATTTTTTATGCTTACGTTTATACAGTTTAACTTGTCTGTAATTTTAATATGCATGTCTATTCTCATGTTATCTGCATCATACCGTAATTATATGACATATGAATATGAATGCAATCATTATGACTTTTTTCTTTAATAATTAGCAATCCTTTAGCAATCATGATGATTATATCTTTTTTCCTTGACCAATTTTAATGGTTTAAATTGCTTACAACAACAGCGATGACTACATGCATTGATTATTTATTTATTGAATTTGATTAATAATCCATAAACAATGTCACGTTTGCGATCGTTTTCTTTATGAGATTGCAGTATAGCATATTTCTGTAAACCAGCTTTAATGGATTACTATAGCTTGCCAATAAAGTCGTATAAATATTACTATGAAACCGTATCTAACTAATAAAAACAACTTCTTAACATACGTCTTCATGTCTGCTCATACTTCCGCGTTCACTCTTTCATAACGAAAAAAAAAATCATAACCGAATTATCATATTCTATAAATAAAACATTCAATTATGCCCGCATCAATTTCTTTTCTCATATACATTATTGATGAAATGTAGAGACCATAGGCAATTACAATATACAAAAAGGCATTGCACTTACTCATTTATTTCATAACGAAACGCAACGTATACAATTCATATATTTTATCTGAAGCAACCGGAAGTAGTGATGACGAACAGATGTAGCAACTTCGACTGGGGAAGTGGGGAAATCTACCTAGCGCACGGTAAATCCGGCTTTATTCAAAATCCTGATTCTACAAAATTACCATTACCATTTAGTGATCCCGAACTTAACCTCTTTTATTCCCTGACCTTTTCCTGACGATTATGGCAATTAATATGAAATAAGAAAGATTACGTCCAACAATCCACACGTTGATACTATTACATACGGAAATTATATTAAACAGAGATTAATGCACGCTGATCCCAGATTCCGTTTGGCCGCTCTGGTCATACCTACAATTGAACTAACCTAGTTAATATTAAGTAAAATAGATATTCGCTATATAGCTAGCTGTCCCAAGGAATTGTGTAACGTGAGTAAATATTAAGCAACCCTAATAATATCAATTCGCGCTGTATAATATCAACTTATTTGTATTAAAAATTACGACGTCTAATCGAAATGTGCGGGACACTTTGAAGTATGTAGATTCACTTCATAGTAATTTCGTATACATAATTTAAATGTCCGTATTACCGCAGTCAAGAATAACGAATGAAATAATTTGCTGTTTACAATACGCATAACTAATCTGGTTAGGTAAACTATTGTAAAAATGATTGACCAATCATCAATCGCATGTTAGGCCAAAACGATGTATCCTGCGATAACTAGATAAAGACAAAAGCCAGGGATAATGGATATTGTAAGTTAAGTAAATGAGATTTGAGTTGAATGTCAAGTCAAGGTTATTATGGAAGGCTTTACGAATGGTTTAATTCGTCATCGTTTTATCAACTTATGAGTAACGACTTGGTTTTTTCAAGGGTAGCGTAGCAATTGTAACCATCTTTGTACAATAAACGCCTATATAGTAAAAAGTTAATATAGTAATAGACAAACAAGGCTAATAGTTTTAAGGATAAGTTTATAAGGGCAAGTTGCATTATTATCAGTATACACAATGGAAGTGGGAAGTAACAATAATAAGATAATATTTTGATTATGCAATAATGTAAGACAATGACCCAAAAAGGGCAAATGAGAAGGGAGAAAAAAAAAGGGGGTAAATAAATACTGGCTACGTTCGGTGAGCTGTCGCGTCATCTTCTCAAATACAAACTTTTTCGCGGACAAGACAACAACGACTGGTTGCCGAAGCCAAAGCTATTATCAAACTGAAGTCACTATAACATTAAACAGCCACGCTAGCAAACGGTGATAACTTTCAAAAAAAAAGCGTATACTTCGTGTGTTCACAGGAACTGTCGTATCTTTCTCAAATGTAAAATTTTTTCGCAATAAGATTTTTTCCTCAACGAAACAGGTTATCGAAGCCAAGCCCATCACTATAATCAAACCAACGTTCCGTGTTGCGGTAAATTACTGTATGGTAAGTGGGAAGGAGGGGGGGGGGCAACGTTTATAACAGTAAGTGCCATATTAGCAAAAATTGAGCGCACACATAACAAAAACTGGTCTATCAGTGACTATGAAATGCACGCCTCAAAGCAAATAAGCGCTATAACATTA